GATCACCTTCATTGTTTTGTCTGTGTAGTCCTTACATTCCTACATGTTAAAAAGAAAGAAACAAAGAAGATAAACATTATTAATTTAATTGAAGATGCTGTTTCAATACATTTCAACTTATCTAAAGGAGACCAAAGGGGAGTGATTAGAAGATAAAAGGAAAAGGGGAGAGAGGGGAAAGGAGTGGAGAGGATCCCTTGAGTTAATCAATCATCTGTTATCAATGACATACCTGGCAGTCATGGAAAATATCTTCTTGTCTTTCACCAAGGTAGTTAATGAGGCAGCAGACAACTGCATCCCTTTTTTTTCCTCAATGCTCTGTGTCTGTAGGGAGATACAATTTAGTGAAAAGACTGTTAGTGGAGAGTGGGGAGAGAATTGCATACAGTAAGACCGAACTGCTTAAAAAAAGGGTAGTTTAAGTTGGTAAGGAGCTCAACTTTGTTCACAACAAAGCAATTCTTTACAAATTATTTCACTTTTAATTCACGTATATCAATAAAGCTGGAGTTGACTAGTTTCTAACCTGAAAACCAGCGGTCAGACACAGTCATGCATGCTAGCTAATGTTGTAAAAAGCACACCGCGAACACATTTCATTGCAACTTAGTTGTCCAGACAGTTAACGGTCATGGTGGCGCCAGGGACAGATTCAAACTTTGATTTCAAGTAATGGCATGTTACACAGATGCATATTGAATATAAGTGAAGTGAAATATCTCATCATTTCAAATATTACAATTTGCCTTCGCGCTATTATTCACACATAGCTTACCTTCAGCTCACGGTTCGATGGCAGAGAGGATCCAGAGTTCTTCTTCTTCTTCTTCTTCTTGTTGTGTTTATTGGCGGTTGGCAACAAACTTACTAGTAGCATTACCGCCACTTACTGGTATGGAGTGAGGATCCAGAGTTCCCTGTCCCGCTCATTCAAAAACGGACTTCTTCTTCTTTTTGATTTAATGGCGGTTGGCAAGCAACTTAATGTTGTGCATTACCGCCACCTACTGGTACGGAGTGTGGATCAGGACGCGTGCACCGGACTCAAGATTCGGGGGTATATTTTACCCTATTTTCCTATGTAACAGGTTTTTACTGTTAACGAATGGGTAGCATATGTATAATTTACCCATTATTTTATAATTCCTTAGCTAATTGAAAAAAAATCTATTACATTTTATATGATTTTTTTTAGATCATAATTACCACTCTCCAAAATCACTTTTTTCAGTGTGGCCTCAGATGGTCAGTGGTGAGACGATCACTCTGACATGTGAGGTCCAGGGAGGAGAAACCACTGAGTGGACGTGTGAATGGAAGAGAGATGGAACAACTGTAAAAGTGGGCAATTACAAAGACCTGAATGTGACGGTTTCTGAGTCCAGCACTGAAGAGTACATGTGTCAGTGTAGAAACAGAGACGACTGGTATTCTGTGACAAGGTGGAGTGAAAAGATCTCAGTGTCTGGTGAGTCAGGATTTTGTTTTACCAAAACCAGGCAGCTGGTTGGAGCCCAAAGACCAGCAGAGCATCTTCCATCAGTTCAAAACCGTTAGAACTGCCTTGTTGCTGAGATGAGATCTGCAAATACAAAACACAGTAGAAATATTCTGATTATATTCCATTCAAGTGATAAGGTACTAGTGTTTTATTTTTCTCTGCTGTTGTCTAATAATGGGAATTCAATGTTAGCCTCATCGCAAACAGATGTGACACTGATTGAAAATGCATTATCACGCTGGCCCCTCCTGTTTGATTTTAACTGTGCCTATGCATTTTATTCTCAATTGAAAAGATTTATGTGGAAATGATATAAATAGCTGGAGATTCTACATATTTTCAGTAATATATTACTTTGAAGAAGAATGTCAAGAAGATTGCAGTGAAAAAGCTAATATGTGATAATGCTTTCAAGATGTTTTTTCATTGTTTTCTATGAAGTGAATGTGTTGTTGATGTGGTGTAAATGAAACAGTGGCTACACTAAACAAACAGATTTTGACTAAAGACTGCACACAAGATGAAAACCTAATAAAACTTTTTTTTTTTTAAAAATGGTTGTACTTAGGATAATACTTCCCACAAACAGACACAATTTGCAAATATGAAGTAGGGAAAATATTTTGTTTTGTTTCTAAAGAAAATACTATTTTTTCCCTTAAGATAAATATCTGGGTGTTAGAAATATTACGTTAATTAGACCTAACATTGATAATGGTATTCAAGACAAGTCTATGTTTTTGCTAACATTTCCATGATCATATTTAAACAGCGTAGTGTGTGTTCAAAGGAACGTAGGTGGAACATGGAGGACGTCCAGGTTTAGGAGTTGCTATGGATACGCATCAGTCAGTAGGACGGTTGTAGGTGGGGATTCTGCTCAGCTGGCTGACAAAATGTTTCTTCTGTAGACATTTTTTGTTTAGTTTTATTTTAGTTTACATTTTAGTTTTTACATGTATACTCTATATTTTTTCATAACTGAATAAGAAATAAATTATATTTCATGAAACAAAATGAACATGACACTGTTCTTCTTTCCGGTAACAGTGTTCACTCCTGGCAGCTCTTCATCTCCTGTCCTTATGATCGTCGGACCTGTCAGTGGAATCCTCCTGGTTCTTCTTCTGGTGTTACTGTGGTACTACAGGCTGTCCAAAGGTGAGATTGGTAATTGTGAAGGTATAATAAAAAGCAGTAGGAGGATTTGAACAATGAAGTATTAAAATAATATTTGTTTTTCACAGATTTACGCTGGCCTGGGTCAGTAAAGCACATCACTGCACATTAAAAATATCTAAAATTACTACATTTCTGTGAAAATAATTCACACCATCAACACTGTTTTAGGTGGAAGCTGCTAAAAAGCAGATTCAGAGTAAATGATGGATTCAACAAGAATGAAACTGATGACAGCAGCTCTCCTCTGCATGGTCAGAAATTAAACAGTGTTTGTCCTTAATACTGCAGACATTTTTAATTATGTTATCATTTGTATCAATAAGATTGCGTTTTCCATATACAGTAAGGAACGCTTTACAATATCCTTACTGAAATAAACAGAATGGAGAGATTACAGTGTTTGTGTTCATAAAATATTCACGTTTTTTCCTGCACTGTAGGTGACGATCATATCTACGAGTCGGTCAACTTCTCAGAGCCCAGTGGAAATGGTAAAGTACACCTTTTCCACCAGATTTAACTGATACACGTTCAAATGCAAGGAACTGATCTGGAAAATCCTGAAATGTTTCAGGATTCAAACCCAGGGACGTAACCTACTCTCTGATTGAACTGAAAAACTTTGGGAAAGACAGTAAGTCAGAAATACAACTTAAAGAAAAAAAATCAGCCTTGTTTTGATCACTTTTTTTTTTTTAAATTGTGACGTGTTTATTTGAACAGGTACCCCAAATGAACCAGCAGAGGGCGCTGTTTACTCTTGTCTGGATCCTGGAATGGAAGGTACAGTGAAGTCCAACTAACAATATGGTACTTTTCATTGCTATCAACCAATGTTGGACAAAAACAAAGCTTTTTTTTGACAAAATAGAAATGCTTTAATTTTTTACACATTGTAAGCCATCCTCATGTATGTAAAAATATAAATATTTAGACGTGATAAAATATTCTAAAATAAAATAAACCAAAAGTGAATTTTTGCTTCTCACTTATTTGTACATAGATTTAAGAATTTACACGAAAATTAATTGTAGGAACTTAAAGTTTAAAGCGAGTAAAAAAATAAATAAATTGTGTATTATTACCCTGCCTCTCGCCCGGAACGTTAGCTGGAGATAGGCACCAGCACCCCTCCCGACCCCACTGAGGGACAAGGGTGAAAGAAAATGGATGGATGGATGTGTATTAAGTACATTGAAGTTGTTGTCCTTTCACAGGTAGGGGGAGCCCTGGAGCAAAAGAAGAGGCTGTTTACTCTGAAATCAACTCTGGACCAGAGAACAGTAACACCATGTAGGCTGCCTGCTTTGATAGTTCAGTCTACAGCTTCTAACTCATGCAGGTTTTGTAGGATCGATTGTAACAAACCAAATATTAACCTTTCATAAAACTGATTTTAGCTGTTGCTTTGTATGTGTTTAAAATAATCCCTCTCAACATTCGCGGTCATTTATTATACTGGCAACTCTTCTTATTCTGCTTTACTTTATTTTGTTATATTAGTTACACATGCTGTAAAAATGTTTTTCTCATTCTGAGATTAAATCACACAAAACTTTTCTTGTTTTGAGTTAATTAAAATTACTAGCATTATTTTTTTTTTTTAGTTTCTTAACAGTACAATGGTAAAGGCGGGGATATGTAAAAAATATTTATATTTCCTTTAAATTCAAAAGTTTTTTTTGTATATGGAAGAACTGCTTTTTAACTGTATGAATTAGGTAAATGTGTAAATTTGGTGGATTTCCATCTGCTTCTCAAAGTGGTTTTCTGGAATTTCAAGCAAATGTGATTAGTGGTAAATGAGCGCGATGAGTATTTTTATCATTAAAGTTCTGGATGAATAAATGACATGCTTTTCATGTTCCGTGAGATACTCGACTGTTCTCATCACGATTGCTCATAGAGAAACTAACCTGTTTATCTACCACAAGCCGTGGCGGCCGCCTCGACCTCAAGGCTCAGAGGTCGAGGTGTGAAAATGAGCGAATGGAAAAGATTAAGCTGATTGTGTGCTTGTTTATGTATTCATGCCATTCGTGACCAAATGTTTGAAACATGTCATCTCGAAGAAACATGAGATCAAGATCACATAAAAAGTCAAAGCAAAATCTGTTTTTTCTTGCATTTTTTTTCTGTTCAATATTTTCCTCCTTATTTAAGCTCCCTGGTTTCACTGCTGACAAACTGGACACCAGATCGTATAAAAACAGTGACAAGGAGGATGATGTAGTGGTGTAGGGGTTAAGCACACCCTACATAAGGAGGCCTTAGTCCTTGACAAGGCCATCACAGGTTCAATTCCTGGCTTGGTGACCTTTGCTGCATGTCCTACCTCTCTCCATTTACCAACTTTCCTGTCCTAGCACTTTCAAATAAAGGCCATTAGAATAAAAAAAAAAAAAACAGTGACAAATTAACTTCATTTTAGGACTTGGGCAACTACTCTAATGTGCAAGTTTAGCAAAGTTTGAAGAAAGTGCTCGGAAATCCTCAAAGTATTAGGAAAAAAATGGTCATATAGCAAGTAGTATAGAAAAACAAAAAAAAATGTACTTGTCTTTTTATAAACTAGTTGCAGGATTGCAGGTCTGTTGGTAAATGTTATTGCTTGGGACTCTGCAGATATCAAACTAGGAAAGAACCACGAGTCTCTTTTTGTTTCCTAATCAAATGTGGAAATGTTAAACAGTCAAGTTGGCTATTTTTTTTATTGCATAATTACTTATGTTAAGTAACTGAGATCAGTAAGATTTTACTTGACAGCACATTTCTTTTTAAACTTTAGTCAATATAAATATGTGTTTCCAAATGACTGCTCTGGAAAAATATACACTTTAGTCACATGTTCAAGTTGATTTCCTGTTATAAGAGATGAAACCACACTGCCACCGCCCCCACCACATCTTCAATATGCTGAGGTTACAGCAGGCCTTTAACTTTAGTGTTCTGACTGAAAAGTAAGCATAAAAATAAATGTGAATTTGAGGAACTAAGCTTCAAAACCGAGAACAAAAGTCTGGTTTCTAGTCCCCAAACAATCCTTGAACATTTTAATAGCTTGGCCATTAAAGGGATCCAATATTGCATGCACAAAAAAAAGCATAGTTCATTTTGAAACAATTATTGCACTATATTCATTTGGGATTTTTTTTATTATATCAGTCAGAGCTTTAGAGATTCAACAAGCTTAGTTTCTGATGCTTTGCAGAAATTGTTCCTATGTCTAAAAACTGCTATGGGAAACGCAGCCACAGACGCGAGGGTGAACCACAGACATTATATATTTAGCATTGATGTGTGAAACATGATGGCCGCATCTCTGCATCGGATGGAACTCCTTTTTCGGTCAACATTATATCTACAGAAAAGCAGAAGCATTAATCATTAGCTGTGCAGTAAGTCTGGCTGTGAGGATGCAGCACGATCTGCTCTGGATGGGCTTCCTCTGTAAGTACTGAGATATTGTGCAACAATTCAGAATGTCTTACCTGTAGAAGAAGGTGCATTGCATCATAGGTGTGTTTAGTTTTTTAAACAGTTTTTATTTAATATGTTTATTATTTTCCCCAGCAGTTTAGTTTAATCATTAGTCATGTTGTTGAGTTAGAAGGCAAGAGAAAGCTATTTGTTTATTTATTTAAGCTTAGTTTTTGAAATATAGAATAAAATTGTAATACAAATTATTAATTGCTCTATGTTGTATTTGTATTTCACGTGACAGATTAACACGGTATGTACTTTGGACGTGGAAGAAAACTGAGATAAAGGGGTTTGACATTTTTCAAAGAAATATTTGAAAGAACCGCTAAACAACCCTGATGATGTGGAAGTGGGTTTGCTTGTTTTAATTACTTGGACCGAGTCATAAACAGAGAAGGATTAGAAGTGCTTCCCTGCGTGTCTTAAGTGGATCCATTCTGTCATAGAAGTGTTTTTATCAAGCTTCCAGGTGGCTTTATATTTATGAACAATGGTGCAAATGGATTTATGGCCAAATAGGTGGTGCTTTTGCATTTTCTTAGCCGAAGTTGAGGGATTGAAATAATAATAATAAAAAAATCATATATGCTGCAGAGATCATCATGGTTGGTGGCTGGTTGTGTTTTATTGATATGTAACAAAAGTTATATTTTAACAGCGTCTCACACCTCCATGCAGATCATTTGGTGTTTCGCTCAACGTTTTTGTAGATGCAGTGACAGTTTTTGATAAGGGCTGCATGGGCAGTTGCCCAGGGGGGCATTAAAAAGCGACTAGAAAATAATAAAATATGCCTTCTCTATCAGTTGTGACCTGACATTTTTTTGCTGCTGCTTGTAAACATATGCAGTGGAGTAAATGTATCTGCTGAGTGCTGAGAGACTGGGATACCTACTTTAATGGTTTTCTGCTGCAAAAAACAAAATTCAGATAATTTTTGGCTTTTTATTTGGTAAAGGGGCAGCAGAAGGAAGGGGCTGCAAGAGCCACCACTGCTTACATGCTTGAAAGGTTTCAAAGGTCTGGCCGCTACAGGCTTTTTAACTCTATTGGGTCCCACTTCAATCAGTCCAATCGTCTGTGTTGAATTCATGGCAACGTGGCATTTTCTCGTGTGCGATATGCAGCTCTGTCATTTTCTACTAGTTCCCAGCCACTGGTTTGACTTCATGTAAGCCTAGAAGAGAAATATCACAATAACTTTGCCATTGTTCTTCATTTAGCTTCTATTGCCAACTAGCTAGCTAACGGCTGGCTAGAAATGTTTTCTTCACCTTTTATTCAAAATAGCTTAATCTATTTTCATGTTCTCCTTAATGTTCCTCTTCAAACAAAGGGTGAGTAGATGTGCTTAGACTTGCATAGAAAACCCACCTGGTTTGTTTGTGAGGTGAGTTTCCAAGCAGCCGATAGCAGACCTCCATTCAGAGCTTCAAGCTACGACAAAGTTTGGAGCCACTTTTCAGATAAAAGTCTTGTTTTTAGTGCTCTGATTTGGTTTTGTGTTTCCTTCCAGGTGTTTCTGGCAGCATGTACATGTTTTAATGTCTTTTGTTTTTTGGACATCTTGTACATAAATATACTGATTACCTGACTTTCAGGTTTGCTAAGAAGTAGCAGTGAGGAAGATGCATAACTTGTGAACCAATTATGTGTTTACCTGCATATAGGCAGCGCTGAACCCAAACTTGTCATGCATAACAAGCACAGTGTGGTAGATGACTGACTTTCTACATCCCCCTGAATGCACCATCCTCACAGTGGGGGCCGTAGTAATGCTGTTTCTTCAGGACCAGATAAACAGTATGGGTGATCTGAATGGATTTCAAAGATGAATAGAGCTGAATACAAGAAAGAATTTGGAAAAAAAAATGTTAAGAGACCAAAGAATGAAAACTTTTGAAATTTCATCTTAATTGTTTGTTTACTTATAAATTATGTGTAAATCTTTATTACAGTTTTCAGCATGTTTTCCTATGGACATCCTGAAGGTGAGATCCTTCTCTTCTTTTTAACTGTTAAATGTGATTTATGGTCGGCATTCAGTTGGCTATGGTATCGTTATCATTTTTAATCATGGAGTAGTTGTCTTCATGTTGCTCAGAGCAACATCTCGCTTATGCAAAGTAACATATATTTTTTTTTTAGCAACAACATATTTTAATAGAAATAATAAATGAACATTTTTACATATCAATTATCCTGAAAGCAGAACGTCTCGCATGAAAAGGTGCGAAGACAACGATTCATCACCCAACAGCACAGCCAATGAGAATGCTCTGTTCCATTGTGCAAATAATCTCACTTCCTTAAGATATTTTTGTTTGCCACCACAGCCTCACCTGTTAATTTGCAAGGTCCCTCGAGATGGCGTTTGTTGTGAACTGGCTAAATATGAATAAACTGATTTGAATGAACTTTGTTTCCTATAAACACGGCCATTTAATAAACTCTAAACAAGGATAATTTGTTAAATATTAGTTTTAATTAATCTGAACTGCATTTGCACTGGCTTACTGTATATTAAGAGCACATTCCTTAAAACACTTATTAGTAAAACTTTTGTTCTATTTCATTTTTGGTAGATCAAATATTTGGGTATCTGTCAATGACTGATGAATCTTTGTTTTTCCTCTAACACCAGGGACAATTAAACTGGCGGCAGATAAAACTATTCTACCAGCAGGGGGCAGTGTAACTCTGACCTGCACTGTGGATAATTCAGATCGCTTCATTATTCACTGGTACAGACATGATTCCGAGTCGTCTCAAGGTCAGGAAATGAGGAACTATAAAGCAAACAAAGTCATCAATCTCTCAAAAGGAGGTCTGTACAGCTGCAGAGGAGGAAATGAAGGAAAAGGAGGTTCAGTTTCATACACAAATTACAGCAACATGGTCACTATTGAGGAAACCCGTAAGTTTGGTTGTTTGTAACTAACAGTTTTCTAAAGCTTTGTGAACCAAAATGAATGTTAAATTCTTATTAAATTATCATTTTGATTATTTGAACATCACACACACCTCTGATAGTGTGTGATACAATCCTGGGCCAAAATAATCATAAAAATCATATATTTTATTTAAGAAATGTATATTTTACTTAAATATTAGGAATGTTGTTGCACATAAGCTTTTCATTCTGGGAATGTTTCATGTTTGACAATCAGAACTTCCCTGATCAAATAACTCTTTGTCATCGCATTGATTCTTGTTTTACGTTGATATGTAACAATATCTTCACTTATTTGTAGGAATATTTTCTAATCATATATTTTTGTATCTCAGTTTCTTTTAATGCCACTGTGACCTCTGACCACAAGTGGCCTCGGATTTACGGAGGAGAGACGGTCACTATCAGATGTGAAATCCAGGGAGGTGGACAAATTAACTGGACCTACGAATGGAGAAAAAACAAGACGCATGAGAAAACAGCATCTTCAGGTGAATACAGGATCTCCGGAGCCAAACAGTCTGACAGCGGAGCGTACAGCTGCAGAGGAAGAAGAGACAGGTTTTCCTCTACAGAGTGGAGTGATGCTTTCTCATTAACTGTATGTAAGTTGGCCCGTTTCATTTGTTAAAATGATTTCGCAGTAATTTGGTCTACTTTTTCTTAACAATGAGAATGTATTAATAAATATACATTTAAAACGTTTTGCATAAGACTTTAAATAACATTGTGATAGCAAAAACGGTGGACAGCATCCTCAGGTTTGGGGTTCAGTCTGCCTCCAGCAGAGAGGTTGTGGTACATAAATGGACTAGTATGGTTTTTTTTTTTTTTTTTTTTTTTTTGATAAGAGAATATCCTTTTTTGAATGATTAACTTCTGTTCAACACACTATAGCTTTATAACGGTGAGTCAGTTTGTGTGTTATTAAATTAACTAGTATAAGCAGTTAAAATGACTCCAAATGTGTTTTAGTAAGAAACCAGCAACAAAGTTAAGAAATAAATGAGCAATAAAAAATGTAAACAAGGATCCTCTTGATTTCATTGAAATCTCTTTCAGCAGATGAACTTGTCCCTGTCCTCTCTGTGTCTCCATCATGGCTGAGTCCTGGAGCCTCAGTGACTCTGAGCTGTGAGGTTGAAGAACCGTCTGCCAGATGGAGGTTCTTCTGGTATAAAGCTGTTCCTGATCCACCAAACAGCTCCTACAGCTATGAGCTGCTGCCTGGTAGCATCAATGGGACTAAAGAGAATTCCTATAATATTCATGGACAGACAAATACCACAGGATACGTCTGTGAAGCAGGACGAGGGGAACAAGCTGTGAAAAGCAAACCGAAATTTGTGTGGTCTGCAGGTCAGTTTTTTCCCCGTCTTTCTCATCAGTCGAATGAAGGCACAGCTTAAGGTTTACAGTTAAAGTTCTTATTAGCTCTAAATTAAGAAGGATCCTATAATGAGACTCAGATGTATTTTTAAAATCTCACTGTGTTTTTTGTATTTTTTCTTTTGTCAGAGTTTCATCCTGGATCCTCTCTCAAAGTGAATCCTGACAGAGTTCAACACTTCAGCTCTGATTCGGTCTCTTTCCACTGTGAAGGAAACTCTGCTGACTGGAGGCTGATGAGGGTTTCAGAAACGGGCCAGCCTTCATTTCTGAACTCATCCAACTGGGGAACAAGAAAACAATCCATAATCAGTAACTGGTCTGATGGTGGAATATTCTGGTGTGAGTCTGGTTTGGGAGAATTCAGCAATGCAGTAAACATCACTTTACAGAGTATGTTATTATTTGTTTTATTTTTAATTATTATTTTTTAAAGCTATTTCAGTGTAAATAATGTATGACACTGAGCGTATGAGCTTATTTAAAAGCTTTTACTGAATAAAATGAATCAAATATTTGAATCCTCTTCACCTCTAACAGACGTCCAGCTCCTTGGCGAATCTTTGCTGCTAAAGTGCCCATTGTTATTTGTCATGTCATTACAGTGAATACTGCACTGCCACCTAGTGTTAAGAACATATATGTATATTTTTGAATTACTATGGCAAATGGTTAGTTTTTAGTATTTGTAACTGATTTAAGGAGAGAAAGTTTAGTTTGATTTAATGCTTTGTATGTAAACAGCTGTTATGTTTAAAAAGCTAAAAATAATTAATCACTAAACCTACAGAAACATTTAAAGTAGCAGGTGTAGATTTGTAAAAAAAAAAAGTAACTTCATAATTTCCTTTTTTATTGCTTCCCCATATTCATTTAATTTGTAATGTTAAAGAAAAAGTCAAAATCCCTTACTTTTTTTTTTTTTAACAGATGATGATTCTGCTCCTCTCCTGCTGAGTCCTGTTCATCCTGTGACTGAAGGAGATCCTGTTACTCTGAGCTGCAGAGATAAAAAACAACAACTTCTCTCCAAAGTGTTTTTCTATCATAATGATAAACTCCTCAGCCATGACAGCAGAGGGGAGCTGAATATCTCTGCAGTGTCAAAGTCAGATGAAGGTTTCTACAAATGTCAACGTTCAGGAAAAGATTCACCAAGGAGCTGGATGTCTGTTAGAGGTGAGGAGGAGGAAAATATTTGATGGATTTTATTCATTAAAAGCTTTTAAATGTTAGAGAGGAACAAGGTGAACATTGAGGATGTTTGTGTTAATGCGCTGTAGATTTTTGCATGTTTTTTCTGACAATTGCTGTAAAACCTACAGTTGGATAACATTTCTTTCTTTTCTCACAATTCAGTGTTTCTTGTAAACCTTCCCGCTCCTCTCAGCTCTTCATCCAATGTGCTGCTGATCGTTGGACCATTTAGTGGAATCCTTCTCATTATTCTCCTGTTGTTTTTGTCTTATTACATACGCTCCAAAGGTGAGACCTTTTTCTCCTCACATTCATTCATCCAACTTGTTTTTATGCTTTTTTTTATTTTTAGAAATAGACATTTGTATTCACTTTATTGTATTTTCATCTTGTTGAGCTCCACCACAAATTATGGAGTTAACCAGAATGAAATGAACAAATGCAACTCTGTTCTTTCACAGCAGAACTTAAATCTAGTTTATGACAATGTCAAATATGATTTTTTTTTTCAGAATTCCAAATTAAGTTATTCATTTATCTAGGAAACTGATCTAAAAACGTTTAAATATTCCAGCCCCTGAGGAGTCCAGAGAAGTTACCTACGCTCAGATTGAAGTGAAAAACGTTGAAAAGAAGAGTGAGTTCTAAACACAATGTGCAACATAATTACTTACATCCTATCGCCACCTTCTTGTTTTGTTTATTTTTTGTTTATTGGAGCAGGAAGGCCTCCGAAAACAGAAGAGGGCGCCGTTTACTCTGAAGTGAAAAGAGGAGCTGCAGGTACAGTCGGCTGCTTCCGTCGATTTGTGAAATATGTCTCATGATGTCACACTGCTTAGATTATCAGATTCTTGGATTAGAACTAAAGGAAAATGACAGATGAGACTCACAGTTTAGGAGTTTTAGAGATTATTTAATTCGTATGTGTTTACACTGTTGCATCCCAGCAAGACGGCCCGGATTAAATTACAGTCTGAGGCTTTTCTGCATGCAGTTTGCATGTTGCAGTGGTGTATACATGCTTTTTTTCCCCCACAGTCCCCAACAAAAATCTGCATCCCTATTAATTTCCTATCACTTATCAACATGGTAATTATTGGTATTTAATCCAGACATGTCAGATGATTGAATGGGTTTTCTGTTTCAGATTTGATTCCGGAATATGATGACATCAACCAGCAGAACAAAGCCAAGAAAAAGAGGAAAGGTAAAACCTGCACGTCATCTTCAGTTTTTTAATCTTTCTCTCTGTTTACATATATTAAAATATTTTATGTGCATTCAAAGAATATTGTTGTAAGATTTCCAGATCATGGGAAAAGGGATTATTAATCTCAATGATGATTTGAATAATGGAAGATTTATTTGCCAAGTTTACCTACTTTTTATTGTTTATACAAGATTAGACTTCGTATTGTGTTTTCAATAAGTCTTTCTCTTTACAGGAGAGTTGAGTCCTCCACCCTCAGATGTAATTTATTCTGTAATCAAATCAGTACCCATCATGGATAACAGTGCTACCAGGCAGGATGTAGGGTGAGCTGAATAAATTTACAATCTATTAAACTCAATGCAATCTGTTTGATTCATTACACGAGTCAAAATTTGGATTAAACATGCTCAGGTCAGCTTACCTATATACTTTTCAATTGCAAGTTTGTGACAGAAGCAGTTTTTGAACGTGGAAAAACATATTATAAAGCTCGTAGCTTCTGCGTGCTATGGAAAAATTCTGTTTTAACAAAAAAACTCAACTGTTTTATTTACTAAAAATCTTCTTTTTAACGTCTAAATCAATGTTGCGCATGATAAACACACTGTGTATGTTTTAAGATGAATGAATCAGCTAAAATACATTCTTATTGTCAAGTTTGTACTAATTTATCTATATTAAAATGGGTGAGTTGTTGCATGATAATTTGTAATGAGTTTATTGTTTTACCATTTAAGATAACTACACAACTGCCAAACTTGCATTTGAACTTGCTGTTAAGTTTCATTACTTACTGATGTGGTTGGATTTATTCTGGCAGATTGTTCTTGTATTTTGTTTGCCTAACGGTATCTTGTTAACTTGTGTGAAATAATTTTTCATCTGCATGCGTTGACTAAAAAAATAAAAACATTAAAGGCCATCTTTCCCCTTCCCTTCCTGATTGTTCTTTATAACATTCCCGTCTTTTTCCTGATGTCAGCAGCAAAATCAAAATCAAAATGTTTGAACATCACCGCTGTCATTCCGCTGCTCCTTCGAAGGGAACTACGAATTACATATAATTAGAAATAAAACTGAATACAAGACGCATACGCAATTAACTCTAAAAAAAAAAAAAAAAGAAAAAAAAAAGACATAAATTATATGAATATTCCACTTCGGCCCTTGATCTACCAGGTTGGTTTTCATTTTGCATCTGGAAGAAAAATATGTATTTACGAGTTACATTGCCTCTCCTCATCCACAGCACTCATTATGTGCTTGGTAAATAAATAATCTGTTTGTACAGTCGCTTGACGTGTGGTGCTTTGGCAAGCCGTTTTAACATAAATTCGGTTTTACCGCCCTTACATTCCAGATATCTCGGATTGTTTTGTGACTAGACGTTTTACTGACAGTTTTGGGCAGAAAACATAAAATTCTGTTTGGACACCACAAAGGGGGTTTCACGTCATTCTTAATTCAGATATCTAAAATTGTAATTTTGACTTGTCATAATTGTGTTGAAGATATCTTAAATCGTGATTACGTATATATGTCCCGTCAAATAACAGATCCAGTGACGTAATTCGAGATATCTTAAGAGGAATTTTTGACTAGTCAAAATGTAATTGAAGATATCTTGAATTATTACTAGTCAGAATGTAAATGCAGACATCTTAAATTACCATTCCGGATAGTCAAAATGTAGTTTTGTCTAATCAAAATGCATGGAATGTATTTACGGATAGTCAGACGAAACCGAATTTATGTGTCTGAATTTATGTTTCCTGCACAAAATTGTCAGTAAATGCCACAAATTAGAAAGAGCTCGGCAATGTTGGAAATGCGGAGATAGCAAAACTGAATAAACTATAAGACTGCTTCTGATATCTGCAAAGAATTTCCTGTTTATTAATTTCTGACGAACCGAATGCACTTAAAAACAGCTTTGAAAAGCTAAAATTGCTATTGTCAAACCATTTTCAACATGAAAGTGGAGCATTTTCAAACCTTTTTTTTTCTCTCTCTATTTTTCATTGTTTTATTAAACTCAAATTGCTACGTAAGTCAGGGACGTTTTGACTAGACAGAGTACTTATTCAAGATATCAGTAATGTCATTCTGACTAGTCAGAATGTCGATTTAAGATATCTTAAATAGAAATGCTGTGTAATTCAAGATATCTCGAATTTATTTAGAGATATCTTAAAACTAATTTTGACTAGTCAAAATTACAATTCAAAATATTTTTAATTTAGTTTTCACTAGTTAAAACTACATATCTACTATCCAAAAATACATTTAAGATGTCTTGAATTATAGAGTCATTAGAGGTTTCTGTAATTAGAATTATGACTTGTCAAAACCAAAATCGAGATATCTTGAATTTACTTTATGGCTAATCATAATTTAATTGTTGATATCTGAAATGTGTATTTCAGATAGTCAGTAATTCATTTTAGATATCTTGAGTTGAAGTCTCCATACAACTCAATGGTAAGTCTGACGTCATTTCAACTAGTCAGAATGTAATTAGAGATATCTCAAATAGTTATTTTGTCTAGTCAAAATATAATTAGAGATATCTTAAATCGCTAAAACGTCTAGTCACAAAACAATTTGAGATATCTGGAACGTAAGGGCGGTAAAACCGAATTTATGTTAAAACGGCTTGCCATACAACTCTGCAGTTCGGGACAGAGTTCTTGGGTGGGAGAGAGTCAGTCATCCATGTTAGTCAGCACTAACCAATAGGGACACGTCTTACAAAGTTCGTCTTTACGCCCCGCCCAGGATGTTCATATTTCCATCAATCAAAACTCTGTGAGTTCAACCAAAGAAACGGAGCATCAAAACCAAAAGATTGGGAATCACAACCGAAGACTTAGGCTCTCAACCAAAAATTTCTGACATGCGCAAATAAAAGTTTATGCTCTGCAAAAAACTTTTTCACTTCATAAGACAAAAATAAGTGATTGTTAATCAAATTAAAAAAATATAGTTTTTTTAAACAAAACTTGAGAATTATTTTTTTATTGAGTAACTCAGGAACAAGGGACAATAAAATAAAATAACCCCTCAAGACTTCTTCTGTCAGTGACTTGTGCTTACAGATAGTAGCCAGCCGGTGGTGGTATAAAGTAGTGTTTTTTGTTTTTTTTTGTTTGTTTGTTTGTTTTTTTCAGAGTTCCAGAAAAGGGCTGGTTGTCCGGTGATCCAGCCAGGTAGAAACTTGTGTGTCTGCAGGATTCTGCTGCTTCAAATTAAGCTCAGAGAACCTTGAAACACATATGATTTATTCTGAAACTAGAATAAATGAGGCACTTTTTTAATCACATGAATGTAAAATTTAAATTAAAACAGCTGGAAAAAAAGTGCCCGACTTCAACAGCCTGCAGTCTGTATTCAAAAGCCACAAGAGGGCGATGCTGAGTTCCATCCATCCATTTTCTTTACACCCTTGTCCCTTAGTGGAGTCGGGAGGGGTGCTGGTGCCTATCTCCAGCTAACGTTCCGGGCGAGAGGCGGGGTTCACCCTGGACAGGTCGCCAGTCTGCCGCAGGGAGACAAACAACCATGCACACACACACTCACACCTAGGGGCAATTTGGAGAGGCCAATTAACCTGACATGGTTTTGGACTGTGGGAGGAAAGAAGTACCCGGAGAAAACCCATGCATGCACAGGGAGAACATGGAAACTCCATGCAGAAAGAGCGGGGCCAGGAATCAAACCCAGATCCTTCTTGCTGCAAGGCAACAGCTCTACCAACTGCGCCACTGTGCAGCCTGCGATGCTGAGTTGTTATACCATTAAAGAGAACTCCTGTCTCTATTGTCAACACTTCTTGATCAGGACGTCACTGAAGATGAAGCTCAGCACATTTGCAATTGTATTTGTAGAGTTTCTGCAGGACACTGTAATGTCTCCTCGTCTCTTGGTGGAAGATCTGGACTAAAGTGAAATATTTAGTGCAGAAAACTACGAATTAAATGCCGTCAGAAAACCAAATGCTTTTCCACGACCTCACAGCTACAACACATGCTGGGTTAGCAGAGCTGCTAACGGCTTCTTTACGCCGAGTTAAAAAATTAAGATATGACATATTGTAGATGAAGCTAAAGTTAGGATCAAGTTAAAGTTCAATGTATGGTGTAGGTTTGACTGATATTATTCTTAGAGGATAATTCTGCTGAAAATAATCCTTGCCATCCTTCTTCCTGTCTCACAACCTAACAACGATAAACAAAACACACGGAAACTTTTTTTCACTCTCTGTACATTTTTAGAGATTATTTTTTTTAGATCTATTTTAACTCCACGTACCGTAAACTATTTCACAGCGTCTGATCTCATGTCTGTTTTTTTCACACCTACAGACTTTATATATCTGTTGTAGATGAGATCTTTCTCACCCATCACTTGTTTTTAGATAAAAAAGGGGATTTTATGGTTTGTTTGCCAGAGAGTTTGCACAAAACACAAACCAAGTAGTGGGTTAACCATTAAAGCTATTCATGTCTTGCAATCATGTTGTTTACAGATTATTCAAAGTGAATTTTATTTTTATGTTTTTCACTAAAAGCAAAAGCAAAATAAACTTATATAATTAATTTGTTTTCATTAAGCCTTTTGGTAAATGACTCTTGTTTACCTGGAATTTACCTAATATGACCTGATAAAGATCAGAGGATGTAACATCTTTTTCCTTTAATTACATCTGAATCCTAAAAAGTAAAAAAAAAAAAAAAAAAAAAAAAAACACAGTTCTGTTCTTTTTTCACCACAACTTCTCATCATTGGAGCGGAAACATCACAGCAGAAACTCAGTGCAGTGATGTCAGTGTTTAAAATAAACATCGTCCTTCATTCTCAGATAAAACGTTGATCCTGTTTCAGACGGCTCCATTTCTCTAGAGACGTTTCAGGGGCAGCATGTTATGAAAGGAAGATTATTGGAGCAAAGCAGAGCAACAGCTGGTTTGAGGTTGAGGTCAGGATGGGGAACACCTCACCCAGTGTTCTGGTCTCACTCTGTAAGTAGATCCACTTTATCTGGATGGATGATGCTCATTAGAACAACACCATCTTTGACATCTAGTCTGCTGTAATATCTACTTTATCTTCCATTGTAATTTTGTAGCTTTACTTACTATAACTATTTGTTCATGATGTGTTTACTGCTACATTACTAAAGGGAAAAATTACTAATACATAAATTTTTGTGCAGACAATTTTGAAAAGCTGCTTTTTGTAAAAATCAGACTTTAGCACAGAACTTTTTATCTCATACAACTAATGTGGAGCAATAAAAATATTATATAACAAAAATGAAAACTGAAACATGATCTGATACAAGAGCCTCAAATTATTCATTACAAATTTTGATCACTTTTTTACCAGTGTGAAGTTTCTGTAGCCGTGCAGAACGTCTCCAGATGTTCTGTCTTCAGCCAGGGTGTGAAGTTTATAAAATAAAGTTTAAACTCATCAGACAAAACAACAATAAACTAAAACATTTGATCTTATTTTTATCAGAACAAATAAATACTCAATATCTTTATAATAGTTGCATTTGTTAAACACATAAACAGAGTCATAGCTGAATGTGGGGCAAAGATTTTTGATTTAATTTAATTTATTATTTCTGCTGATGAACTTTCAACCTTTATTTCAGTGCTGAACACAATAATCTGCTGTGGACAAACTCAAGGTAACTTCAGCTTTTAATCTATTTTAATCATTTATCCTCTCAGGAGCAGAATCCAGTTGATCTTTTATATCAGATGTTATTCTGAGTTTATCTTTTCATTTTTATCTTGATGTGTTTTTGTTACAAACTAAAAGAGAAACGTGCTGAATGTTGGTTCTGTTGTAGATGCTGTGCTGACTATTGAGCCCAACTGGTCGACTTTTTATGCCGGAGAGTTTGTTACATTTATCTGTGACATGAATGAAGGAAAAGACTCTGACTGGTATTACCAGTTAAGAAGGAACGGTGAAGAATTTTTCCCCCATCAGCCACATAAAAACTTCAGAGTTCAAGAGCTGGATACTGGTTACAGTGGTGAATTTCAGTGCTGTGGTTACAGGATGAGCAGCTCATCTCACTCAAAGTGCAGTAAAGCTGTCACTGTTATTGTCTCAGGTAAGACATGAATATTTTAAAGAACTACAAAGTGTCATATGCCTGTCAGCCTTAAAACCTTGCATTTGTTAACTGTATTTTATTTCATAATTTCAAACAGCGTTATTTGTTGATAAAATAGTGTTTGAAATATGACACATATGTAAATAACTGGGTTTAATAAAGTAAAATCAGTCATAAGTTACAAATAGAGCAACAACTGAAAGGAAATATTACTTACTTTACCTCAAGTATATGGGTGGTTTAATGTAGAGTTAACTATGTATGTATAATAGGTAAAGATGACAATAAAATGCATTGACAGCTTTTTCACATATCTACTTATTTGACAGAAGCATCACTCTTTACAACAGTTGTTTAATTAAAGTTTTTCATATAAAATCAGCTAATATTTGTTTCCATAACAGCAGATAAACCCAGAGCCACATTGACAGCAGGTCCAACAACCATACCAGTAGGGGGCAGTGTGACACTGAGCTGCTCAGTGGAGCCCTCTGCTGGATGGAAATACAAATGGTTCAGACGAACCAAAAATTCACCTGAAGTTGAAATCAACACAAATAATAAAGAAAACAGAAATATCACTGTGAGACAAGGAGGAATCTACATGTGTGATGGAGAGAGAGGAAATCCCTCATTCTACAGCCATCGAAGCCATGACGTTACCATAGAGATAACTTGTGAGTTTCTTCCTGAAAACAGTCATAAACTAAATCTACTGAATAACAATTTTTCTTGTGAATTAATGTTTCTCTTCATATCTGATGGAAACAGTTTCCAACAAGGTTGTTGTGACTCGACGACCAAACTGGCCTCAGATGTTCAGTGGTGAGATGATCACTCTGACATGTGAGGTCCAGGGAGGAGAAACCACTGAGTGGACGTGTGAATGGAGTAGAGATGGGTCAAATATACACAGGACAAATAGTAAAGACTGGACTTTCAGTGTCTCTGAGTCCAGCAGTGGAGACTACATGTGTCAGTGTAGAAGAAGAGACGACTCGCATTCTTCAACGCAGTGGAGTGAAGCCATCAGTCTGTCTGTATCAAGTATGTTGATATTTATTAAATTTGAAAATGTGGCTGTAATGTGAAAAGGTGTTGACAGTATTAATGCTAAAATCCTCCCTTGTCCCCCCCCACACACACACACACAC